CCCCAAAACCCCAAAACCCCAAAACCCCTAATCGGCAGTCTCATATTGAAGGCTAACCGTTAAATTATAAATTTAGAGTAAACTTTTAAAAGTGGCACTTGGAATGGAGAAAAAGCAAAGGAATTTATCCCAAAGTATGACATCTAGTTATTGTTTAGTAAGCAAAGACCTTTATCGGATCAATGAAGCTTACAGAGTTACACAGGAGCTTGAGGTAGAACGGCTTTAAGCTATTTTATAGAGAATTAGCGAAATTCATCCCAATAACGACCCACAGCTGGCTGTTTGTTTAGAGCTTAAATAAGTGCCCAGGTGAAGGCTTCAGGAAATGTTTGGCAAAGAAAAGGAATTTCCATGATAGATCTACTGCTAACAGTGAGAAGAAGGCTATTATTAGCCAGAAAATCATCAATTCATTCCATTGAGATGATAATAGAGGAGTTACTAGTCGGGATGAAAATAATTTTGAGACTCTTCAATCTAATCCTGATCTTGGGGAGTTGATCCATAAGTTAGATGGGAGACATGGAGAGACACCTACTGCTTCTCAAAGTCAAACCTCCATATTTAACTACTTAGAGGCTAATGATAATCTTAAAGGCACTCCTTATTCCCGTTTTAAGCAAGAAATAAGCTTTAGCAGTAAATCGAATGAGAATCATCAGACAAAAATATCTAAATTGGAGAAAGAAAACGAGGCACTTCGTCAAGAAAATTACCAAATAAAGTGACTATACGAGGACAGATTGCAAGAGCTCAACTGGTACTATCAAAAATATGGCCAGAGAGCCAAAGGGTTATCTGAAGAAACTACAAAGGACACTGGTATTTGCCCCACCTCACCTTTAGAGGGTCAGTATAATGATCAGCCGGCTCCTAGTACTCTAAAGGAGATTTCTTTTAACATTCCAAAAACTCAAGAAATATAAAAGCAAATAGCTCCTCGAAAGCCGGAATACACCAGCAGATAAACACTCTGCAGAGCAGAATTGCTCAAGCTAACGAGTAAGTTAAGTGAGTTAATCCACACAGAAGGTTAAATGAAAAACAGAAGTTCAAAGGTAAGCCTTTACAGGCTAAATTTACTCAAGATTACTGATACAACGAGAGCATTTCAACCATGAAGCATCTTGAGAAGTACCCCATTTGCTTATCTATAGGAATAGACAGTCCATCCTTGATGAAGAAAATAGCTTATCCCTATTCAAGAAATCTCATCAGGGTAATTCTGACAGATTGACCTATCTAGACTCTAAAAGTTATGAGAGGGTAAGCCATCGGAGCAAGAATATCTCTTCTACCCCTACTCTTCTTTCAAAGGAATCTAAACGCAAATGTAAGAAGAAGACTCAAAAGTACCAACAGATGTTTGCTGAGAACTACTTCAAGTCCAACAGACCTCTTAAAGTCAACAACATATTGGCTCCACCAATGGTTTTCAAGGATTATGACCTCAATTTAGAATAATTCGTTTTCAATAAACTATGAAGCCCTAGGGGTTTTGGGGTTTTGGGGTTTTGGGGTTTTGGGG